TATCTGTTAGCCAGGGTGTAAATTACCCCCTCACTATTCAGGATTACTGCCACTAGATTTCATGCTGACTCAATCATAGCGTTGCACTGTCTGCCACCGTACAGAACCTCACACTTCTAAAACACAAGATGGCGCTAATGCCTTGATGACATCAGATTTCATTCCATATTCTCAAGTTTCATTCCATATACTCAGGTTTATATATAAAAAATATATAGTATATATATAAAATCTGAATAAGAAGCAGAATGGTGTGAAACTGATACTGGCTGACCTAACAGACACAATTCTACAGAGTTAAGTTTACTTTCTTTTTCATTACTGATGTAGCAGTTTTCATGTGTGAATTGTGAAGATGGACAGCAGCAGCAAGAACTGCAAATGATAAGGTGGCACTGAGACAGAGAAGAATGAAAAAGCTACTTAATAAAGATGATGACAAATCTGAGCAGGTGCTAAATACAGACCTTAGCTTACAGAGCTAGCATTTGTTTGCAGACTGTCATGAGTATGAAATATTTAAGAAAAAAGTAACCCAGTTTCCATTTTATCACTAGAGAGACACTTCGATTATCTCAGTGTAGCATCAATTTCAACATCTGATATATGTTCTATTTTCTATTGTGAATAAAATATGGGTCTATGAGATTTGCAGGTCATTGCAATTTTAATGTAAGTCAATGGAGTTTTTTCCAAGTAATTTTGGGTCATTTCTTTTGGTCCATTCATCATTACATACAATCAAATTTACATAAAATGTAAAGGGCAACATGCATTTTTAAATTATGTTAAAAACTGAAAAATGACAAAAATGGAGATACGAGGTTATGTTGCGACAGTAGCGATATACAGTGTTATGAAGATTAAGAAAGAAATGTCACACTCACCTTCAGAGACATGAAGCCCAATGAAGAGAAGATAGAAAGTCGGCAACATCCTCACTAGTAAAACAACACTGAGTTCACAGCACACTGACAGCTCCACACCCAGCACTACACTAGCCCTGTATACCACACTGAGTACACAGCTCTCTCAGCAGCTCTTCACTGGAGTCTAACCCACTCTAATGTCTGTGCAGCTCAGAATGTCTGTTTGAGTGGAGCTCGTCTGTCTTTTATAGTTTTCATCATCAGGTTTGTGACACTCTCAAAACCATACAAAAAGACACAATGAACTCTGAGTCATGAGAAGACTTACCATATCCTCTTTTGTGGTGCAGCATGTCACAGCACGCCACAGTGACCAACGTACTCTGGGGGTGGGGTGGGGGTGGGGCGGTTGAGTGTCACAATGTATGGTTTTTGTGTACAGGGTGCTGATAGCCTGTTCTCAGAAAAGTGTGGCAGTACCTTAAATTATCTGCCTGGATCTTTCATTTTCCGTCTGTTCAGTTTTAAACTGTATGTCATGTTGGAAATATGAAGAGTTTAATATGCACTTTTAATGACTCATTGAACACTGACTAACCAAACTCTGTGTTTGGAAAAAAAAAAGGCCATTTGACTTTTTTAAGTTCTGCCCACAGAGTCTTCTTTTAAAAATAAGTAATCTAGTATCCTGATATAGTCTGTGTTCCATATATAGACCACTTCTACTGAATTAGTTCAAAGTCTAGTCCCACAGTAGAAGAACTATTTAAAAGAAGTAAGGATTCAGATCTTAGATATTTATAGGGTTTAACTGAGATAACAAAAGGCTAAAAATATACAAAATTATCATTTATAGGACATCTTCTTTTGGGAGGCTGTCACACATCCCTCCGGCTCTGGATCACACATGGACTCCACTTCCCAGAATCCCATGGGAGATCATGTTACTGTTGAACGTCCTCAATCCTCCAATCACCACTTACAGTCACCAGAATACTGATGTTTTGCAGCTGTTCTGTGTGTCATATGACCAGTCTAGTTTAGTTTACAAGCCCCGGCTTTAGATTAGTATTTAATACTCCTTCTAACTGCAGAGCTACTCAGCATTTCCTGTTTGCTATTGTTTGCGATGTTTGTATATTTGACCCTGTTGCTGAATTTTCAGACTTTTTGTCTTTCACATTTTAGATCTGGTAGCCTTTGTTATGTTTGTCCTTTTTTGTTCACCAACTTTGAATCTTGTCAAACCCTTCCCAAGTAAAGCCTCATTAAAGCCTCATTTATTCATTTATTTATTTGTTTGTTTGTTTGTTTGTTTGTTACTGCATGTGTCTGGCTGGTTCTATCATGTTACACTAAACCCTAAATTTTACTTCTTGAAAATAAAACTAATGTGTTATTATTATTATTATTATTATTGTTGTTGTTTTCTTCTTGTTGTTGTTGTTGATGATGATGTTTACTTTTTACTATCTTCTTTATAAATAAACAAATAAATAAACATGCTGCAGATTTACTATTGAAACAGTTTTAGTCCATAGATTAAGCCTTATTTTAGCCACTCCCATTTCGAGCATTTTCGAGCAGAAAATGAGACTGTATCACTGTCCCTCAACCACCTGGTGATACAACCCACTGTTTTGAAGCAAATATATCCCAGTCTAAAAATCAGTATGAAACATCAAAAAATGTCATGCTTTCTGCAATTAAGTAATCAACTTTTGTATTTTGATGAAAATTTTCATTTTATCTATATACAATAAGAAGCAGCCCAGACCACGGATCACAGATTCCCATTTTTTTCTCCCCAATTTAGACGTATCCAAATCCATCCCATGATACCACCAGGACTAGAACGGTGAAGGCTAGCACAAGCTTCCTCTGTGACCTGTGAAGAGCCACCACATCTTTTTGAACTGCCACTTACGCAATAACAATGGACAGCTAAACACGCTCAGTGGAAAGCGCCAAAGGCCAGTTCTGTCAGCACACACCTGTGCTAGCTAGCATCGTGCTGAGTGATGGGGGTGTCTTGTGCTGTCTTGGACTCACACCCCTGACGACTGTATCACCATCAGTGATCGAATTCTCAATCTCCTTATGAGAGGGCCAACACTTGGACAGTTGCACCACTCGGGAACCCTCAGAAAACAGATTCTGCATAAACATATGGACGACAATTTCTTCTCCAGCACGATGGCAATTGAAGGGAGGGGTTTCTAATAAAGTGGACAGTGAGTGTACTTAGTATCACCACTGTACCTGATACACTGCAGATCTTGACTGAAGTGTAACCCACTCTAACATCAGTGCAGCAAACAGGAGCTGTTTTCATCATCAGCTTTGTGACACCCTCTAAACCCCACTCAGTGACACAGTTCCCTCTTAGCTGTGAGAACACTTGCTGTTTCGTCTTCTGTGGTGCATCATTTCATAGAGAACACAACCACACTGACCATGTTACTCCATCTGCAGTGGACGTGGGGTGGGGTGGGGGGTTATTTGGGATTTAGAGGGAGAGCTTGAATGTGGTGTGAATGTAGTAGCTCTTTACTGTATTATGTGCATATTATGTATTATTATTTTTTAGGGTGCTGAGAGCTTACAGATGGCAGTACTCTGAAAATGTCCACCTGGAGTTGGAGGAGGACAGCAGGGACTGGTGGCACCTTTTGGAGCAAGCCTTAAGGTATGAACACAGATGTGTTTTCTGCCTCTAGTGATTTCTACAGCAGTCTGTGCTGGTGAAAGGATACAGGAGCTGCTCTTTTTCTCTCTCCAGTCATGTGAACTCTGAAAGCTCAACTATCATCCTGCATCAGGTTAGTCCAAAACAATAAAGCTGATCTTGCATGTAAGAAGGGTTTTCAGTACCTTGGACAGCAACCAGCAACTCTGGCATGGCTGTAACTAGCTCTGAGGACACTGAGGTCTGGACCTCCATAGTTTGAGAAGGATTTTTTTTTTTCACTTTTCTCCATTCATGAGATTAACTGCAAAAACAGCACCATTATGATAATACAGTAGTCTACTCAAGGGCGCTGAGTGACGGTGTCCACTCAGGGACAGTGTCCCAAACCTACGCAATCAAACAGGGACAGAATATTTATTATGCTGCATTTTTTATGATAATGAAATTTGATTTGTTTTCTGTGGCCAATCAAAACCTGCCAAGCTCCGCCTTATTTTCTTCAACTCTCCAATCACTGCTTAGCAAATGTTCCTATCTGCAATTGCTTTAGTATGAGGTCCTTGGAGTCCTTATGAGATTCAGTGTGGAAAAAAGTAACAATTACCACATAGAATCGCAGTTTAAAGTATTTGTCCTTCATACTAATGAGAACTGAGTGTTGACATGAGTATATAAGGCCAAGAGAGATGCTAAAAATACATATCATGGTTACTTTACAATGAGATCTGGTCTGGTCTATTAGACAGACAAAGTGACCATAGTGAGAACCAGAGAATGCTCTCAGCACAGAAGCACATGAAAGATACAATGCTAGTTTTATTAAACTCAGTACTTTATTAAAAAAGCAAATAGAATAATAAAATAAAACATGTTTTCATCAATCTAAATATCAAAGACTTCAATTTAGCTACTGCCCTGTTTCACTGTTTTACACACACATCTTCTAAGCCGCTTATCCTCCTGGGGTTGCGGGGGTGCGGGGGGAGGTGGGGGAATGAGCTGAAGCCTATGCCAGCAGTCCTTGGGCGGAAGGCAGGATACACCCTGGATAGGTTGCCAGTTCATCACAGGTGTTTCACTGTTTCATGTTGGTAAAATATACAAAGTATTATCATTTGTTATATGAAGCTGAGAGGTTTAATGCTGATTGATGAGAAGATAAAGTAAGATTAGTAACCAATATCATCTGAGCTTCAACAGTATAGATAATTTTTGGCTCACCATTTCTTAAGCAACAGGTCACCCTTGCTGTTTTTATTTAACTTTCATAGGTGATTATTATTAATTTTAAGCTTTTTTTAGAATCTTGACACGTATTACTAAACTAATTTTAAACCATTCATAAACCCTTTATAATGCTAATCTTAGTGAAAAGTGGTGCCAAATAAACATTCATGTAGATGAGAAGTGCAGAATCAGGCCAGTAATGTAGAGCTGCACTACTCCAGACTGACCACTCCATCTCCATCTCCATCAGCAGTGCTGCAGTGAACTCTGGCAGGATCTGTTGGAAATATTTCCAAGAAAAAATGTGAAATCACACAAAGAATAAAGTTAGTGTAATTAATACAGCTTGATTTTGTGGTTTCTACCTTTGTTTCTCTTGGTGTGATAAACCACAGCTACTAAAATATGAAGGAAGATCACAGTGACCAAGGCAAAGGGGACGAAGGGCAGAGACTGTGGAGGAACTGAAACAAGAAGTGTTACAGTCTGGAGAACAAATTAAAGACTCTCAACTCAAATGTACCAAAGCTGTAATAACTTGTTGCTGCTGGTGTGATACTGCTGTGTTTACCATTGGTCACTGGAGTAGATGCTGTGCCCAGATAGCTCGGACTGGTTAGTCTACTGACCTCTGCAGTAGATTTTGTAGTTTTAATTAGGCTTTCTATAGAGAAAGAGGGGTTTTATGGTCATTATAGAAGCATGTAGCTCACTGTCCATACACAGAAACAATAAATGGGCATTATTTCCCATTACATTATATTGTGTAGTGCAACATAATATTCCTAAGCCTCATCACTTTTATAAAAATGTATATCATATTCATGTCTTTGTTCATCAGTGTTCTCTCACTACAATACCCAACATGCAGTATGTAAAAGCTTAATTAGACCTGAAATATGAAATATGTAAGACAAACACATTTTTTTTTTCTTTGCGTTCACTCACTTTAGGAAAGAATTAAATTGATTTAACATATTTTACACACATAGAACCATTTGTAAAGTAAAGACAGTGACTTTTTTCTGTATAAATTGGTAACAATAACACATTCAGCTTTTTGCAGTACTAAATGTAGTGTTTGTAACAATTTTCACTGCGGCAAGAGTATCGCTTTAATAATATTTAGTGTTAATTACTGTGAATTATAATGAATTACCTAACCCTGACGTCATTACAATGTTGATAATAAAATGCAGCATTACTGCAGAATGTGATCAAGGCTGTGGAGCAGAGATTTGTAATACGTACCATACATGCCTGTACAAAGTTAGTACAGGTTAATGTTAGTAATGTGTTGAGATGGGAGAAGGAATAGAGATCCCAACAGTGTTTTACCTTCAACAGTGAGTCTGACGTATGTGTGTTCACTCTCTGTAACATTACACCTGTACTCTCCTCTATCCTTTTCAGTCAGGTGTGATATAAGTAGAGAGAGATTTCCTGGAGAGTGACCATTAACCAGCTGAACTCTGTTTCTGTACTGACCACTCTCACTGTATAGCTCTTCCCATCTGTTTTTGAATCTGTTACGTTTCTCCCAGGTGAATGTCTCAGGTTTGGCATGTAGGTCAGTGCAGTAACAGGGCAGCAGTACTGACCCTCCTGTATGAGCTGTGATAGTCTGTGATTTTTTATTGTTTATCAGAGTGCAGCCTGCAGTAACACACATTGGAAAGACAAGGCTAAGCAAAACACTGAAAAAAAGAAAATCAAAATATATGTGCTATTTTTAGGTATGATATGTGGTAATTAGCAAACAAAAAACAATCATTTTTTGGTGTTCATATATAATGACATTTCATGAACAACAAAAGAATTGAAATTCTAAATGTATCCTTCTTTGGCATGAAACACAATTAGGAGGAAAAATGCAGATCTATATTCACAAGTTAAACAGCACAGACTTTATAACACACTCCAACCACTATCCACACACACTTACTATACACACACCCTCAGTGCAGAGCTCTCTCAGCAGAACTTCACTGAGTACTGCCACACACTAATGAGCTTAGAGCATTTCTAATGTAGAGCTAACAAACTTCATAGAGCTGTTTCTCTACATCTTTACATTTATTTATGATTTGCTTTCACAAAGAAAACCTCCAAATATGCTTCTTACCTTTAACAGTGAGAACAATGTAGACGTGTCCACCTGCTTGAACAAAACACTGGTACTGTCCTCCATCCTCTTCAGTCAGGTGTGATATGAGTAGAGAGAGATTTCCTGGAGAGTGACCATTAACCAGCTGAACTCTGTTTCTGGACTGACCACTCTCACTGGATATCTCTTCCCATGTTTTTCTGTTTGTGTTGTGTTTCTTCCAGGTGAATTCTGCCTTAGGTTTGGTCTGTAGGTCAGTGCAGTAGCAGGGCAGCAGTACTGACCCTCCTGTGTCTGCTGTGATATGCAATGTTTGACTATTGTTTACCAGAGTGCAGCCTGTAGAAACACATATCAAGAAGATAATCATTCTCTTTGTCTCTTATCAGAGATAATACTTTTTGGAATAAATGAATTCACCAAATAAAGTAATAAAGCTCTCCTAAAGTCATGAATTGAATCATAAAAAAGAAAATAATCTGCATTTAGACTATTAAATAGTCTGCATAGACTATTAAATGTTCTTCTGTTTTATTTTTCATGCCTAAGAGAGACTAAAACTGCATCCATAAACCTCGACACTCAGTAAGAATGAGAAGACCTATGAAAATTTATGATTATGCAACTTGTAAACATCCCCTCACTGCCTTGTTTCTTAGTGTCACCTCTTCACTCTCTATCTTGATCAAACAGATGAGACAGAAATAATAATAAGCTCTCACTATAACTTTAATGAATGAAGTTCTGTTTGGCTGTTAAAATGGACACAATGAAAGAAATAAAATCTTCTACTTAGTTTCCAGTTAGCTGAAAGAGAAAAATAACCTTTTAAATGGCCAGTACTAAATAATTTGATTCCAGCCCCAAACAAGTTGTCCAGCCCAGAGGTATTACTACGATTCACCTCCCTTAACCAGTACTTTCACTTATATGAGTTGTATTACATCACAGAAACCCAAGTACCCATCAGACCCTTGAACTGAAACCCCCTCTGATATTACACAGAGCATGAAGTTACTGTGGAGCAATGGCATGGAAAGTGAGAAGCAAGTTAATAGCGAGTCATTATGGTTATTTCCTCCCTCATCAGTTCTTTAGTTCTAATGCATATACAATATGCATATACATTCAATATATACACATTCAAATGCATGCAGTATTCAAGGAGGAGCAGAAATTTGGATAAGACCACATCACCCTCAACCTCACCCTCTCCACAATGGTGTGAAACTGATACTGGCTGACACAACAGACACAATTCTACAGAGTTAAGTTTACTTTCTTTTTCATTACTGATGTAGCAGTTTTCATGTGTGAATCATGTGGAGATGGACAAAGAGCTGCAAGAACTGCAAATGACAAGGTGGCACTGAGACAGAGAAGAATGAAAAAGCTACTTAATAAAGATGAGGACATATCTGAGCAGGTGGGCAAAATACACTTTAGCTTACATAGCTAGCATTAGTTTGCAGACTGTCATGAGTATGACACATTTAAGATAAAAGTAACCCAGTTTCCATTTTACCACTAGTGAGACACTTTGATTATCTCAGTGTAACATATAAATGATAAATAAAGTAAAAATAGAAGAAGATGAAAATGTGCAGATTTAGGAGAATTTCACTAACAGGAAGTCTATATATATATATATATATATATATATATATATATATAAATACAACCCCAGTTCCCAAAAGTTACCAAATTAAGACGCTGTGTAAAATGTAAATAAATGTAAATTAAAACAGAGTGCAAAGATTTGCAAATCTCATAGACCCATATTTTATTCACAATAGAACATACAACACATATTTCATGAAAAACATTAACTCGTTTAGAACTTGATGACAGCAACAGATCTTCAACAAGTCTTTAACTAGAGCGCATGTACACACAGCACCTTATATTATATGGAATCTAACAAAAAATATTTGTCACATAAATATGATGGAAAGAAGGAAGACACACATACAGTGTTATGAACATTAAGAGAAAATGTCACACTCACCTTCAGAGACATGAAGCCCAATGAAGAGAAGATAAAAAGTCAGCAACATCCTCACTAGTAAAACAACACTGAGTTCACAGCACACTGACAGCTCCACACCCAGCACTACACTAGCCCTGTATACCACACTGAGTACACAGCTCTCTCAGCAGCTCTTCACTGGAGTCTAACCCACTCTAATGTCCGCGCAGCTCAGACTGTCTGTTTGAATGGAGCTCGTCTGTCTTTTAAATTTTTCATCATCAGGTTTGTGACGCTCTCAAAACCATACAAAAAGACATGCTGGTCTCTGAGTCGTGAGAAGACTTACCATTTCCTCTTTTGTGACGCATCAATTCACAGCACAAACACTCACAGTGACCAACGTACTCTGGGGGTGGGGGGGGGTGGTTGAGTGTCACCATGTGTGGTCTGTGTGCACAGGATGCTGAAATCCTGTTCTCAGAAAAATGTGACAGTACCTTAAAATATCTGCCTGGATCTTTCATTTTCCTTCTGTTCAGTCTTAAACTGTATGTCATGTTGGAAATATTATGAGTTTAATATGCACTTTCAATGATTTATTGAACACTGACACACCAAACTCTGTGTTTGAAAAAAACGAAGGCATTTGATTTTTTTAAGCTTTGCAAACTGAAAGCATGATAAGTTCTGCCCACAGAGACTTCCTTTAAAAATGAGTAATCTAGTATCCTGATATAGTCTGTATTTCACATATGGACCATTTCAAGAGAATTTGATCAAATTCTAGTCGCACAATAGAAGAACTATTTAAAAGGAGAAGTAGGGATTCAGATCTTAGATATTTATAAGGTTTATATTATGATCTATTTAAACCCAATGTCTTAACTGAGATAATAAAAGGCTAAAATTATACAAAATCATCATTTATAGGACACCTTCTGTCTTTTTTGTCTGTCCCAAACCCTAACCCCTAAATTTGAACATAAAAAATAGTAATTTTTTTTTTTCTTTTTTGTATTTTTTCAAAATAATTTTTTAAAGTGAAATGGAAGGATTTACATTTGTCGTGAGTGTAATTATAAAAAAAAATCCCGCACATTTTCATTTTACTATTGTAGTTAGTTAAACAGTTTTAGTCCATAGGCTCAGCCTTATTTTAATCACTCCCTTGCATTTTAGAGCAGGAAATGAGACTGTATCTCAACCACCTGGTGAGCAGATCGATCAGAAATAAAGCACAATGCCACCATTTGGTCTTATTAATATAAATGTTACAGAGAGACGAGCTAGTGATACCTCAGAAGACTCTAAAGACTGTCATAAACATAAATGAAATGTGGTTTGAGCTGCTGGATTTGCTTTTTGTTTACATTGCTCCTTTTTTTAATCCGTTTTATTATGATTGTAATCAGCTATGGGATATGTGCAAATTTACTACAGTGGATCAATCTAGTTAACATACATTTGAATACCTTCTTCTCCACCATGATTTTCAGGCATGTGTAAATAAAGATACCCATTTCTGATTGGTCCTCTCCTATATCCCAGGGAATTTTGGGTAAACGTCCCCATGGATGCTGTCTACACCACAGGCTGAGGTAAGTGTCCAAAGAAGACACACATGAGCACCCCTCTGAACAAGTGAGAACTGATAGCCTGTAGTTCACCTGATGAGTCTGTAGTTCACCTGCACTGCACAGTTCCATGTTTTCCTGCTATAAAACACTTGGATCAGTTCGAGATGGACTTTAGTCCCCTTTATTTGAACAGCTCCCAATAGATTTTTTATAGATTTTAAAATTATTAGCAAACTATCTGTGGAAGTAGATGATTCTCAACCGTGTTGGAGGTTAGTATTAGTACTAGGGTTAAGTTTAGAAAAAAGGTGAGGGTTAGGTGTAGTTTGTTTTGAGTTCAAAGTTTGGGTCATTGTTAGATTTGAGGAAATTAAGGTGAACTGAATAGAAATTTTGTTAAATATAAGTTAAATAGACCACTGTAGTCATGTCATCATTTTGTAGTCAGCGCATGCTCTTGTACCCATATTAGGAACTCTGGGTCTAAGCTCCATTTCTCTATGGGCAGAATGAATAGGGTTTTCTGCTGACCCCCTGATAAACTGATTTAGGCTCTCAGAATATCCTCATTATTATTTTAATGCAGGTAACATTTTTCTGAGGACCTTTTTTTTAGGACATTCGCCAGCTTTTTGTTCGACCTTTCCCGTTCCACCTTAAGAGGTGCACATTCTAAACTGCTGCACCATTTAAGGTGGAACGGGAAAATGCGAACAAGCAGCCGGCGAAAGAGAAGCTGACTTCAGCCTCATAGTTTTAACACAGGTAGTATTTTTGATAAGGAGTTTTAGCCTATCAAAATATTTCGATGACAGCACATCTCGTCAGAGCACCGCCATAGCCCACCTTAGTTTCGTGTAGCTTAGTGACATCAAATTGATGCGCAGTAGCTTTAGCTCACATGTAACAATATAGTATTGTAGCTCTTTAATAACCTCGTATCGGGTTCTGAACAGTTTTATTTAACACAGGGTGCGACAGAGGGGGTTAGAGGGAGAGGTTGAACGTGGTGTGAATGCACTAGCAACCTCACTACTAGTCAAAGTCAAAGTCAAAGTGAACTTTATTGTCATTCATACTATAAAACAAAGAGTGCACAGCTGAACAAGATTGCATTTCTCATACTCCGATGTGCAAAATATACATCAATAACATAAAGGCACCTGCACATAGACATACTAGACAGCATAGACAGACATAAAGCCATATGTAAAAGGAGAAAAAATATATACACATATAAAAGAAATTATTGTATAGAAAAAATATTGCAGCGATGCAGCTGCCATACCACACTGGGAGGCTGCTGGTCAAGATGAGAACTATGGTGCCTCTGTAGAAACATGTGAGGATAGAAGGGGGGAGGTTTGCTCTTCTTCGCACAGTGTAGCAGGAAATGTAAACTTGACACTGGTAAATAGTAATAAAGTGATGTGAACATAGAAAATATTACACAAAAAATGCATTTTTATATAGAAGATAAAGTTCAGAGGAAAAGCATGTTGTGTATTGTTAAAGAGAGTTGAGTCGTTTAATGGCCTGTGGGAAGAAGCTCCTGCTGAATCTGGCGGTCTTGCACCACATGCTGTGGTAGTGTTTGCCAGAGGGCAGAAGGCTGAACAGTCCATGGGCAGGGTGGGTGGGGTCTCTGACTATCTTGGTGGCTCTGCTGAGGCAGCATGACTGGTAGGGATCTTGTGTGGATGGAAGTGGGGTTCTGATGATTCTCTCTGCCATCCTCACCACTCTCTGGAGGGACTCCTGGTCTGCAGCGATGCAGCTGCCATACCACACTGGGAGGCTGCTGGTCAGGATGAGAACTATGGTGCCTCTGTAGAAACATGTGAGGATAGAAGGGGGGAGGTTTGCTCTTCTCATCCATCATCCACCATGTCAGGTCGTCCATGATGTGCAGTTCCAAAAACATAGTGCTTCTCACTGACTCCACAGCGTTACGATGGATTGTAAGTGAGGTATGTACCATGTGCTTCCTCCTGAAGTCGACAGTCATTTCATTTGTCTTGTTGAGATTCAGGTTGTTATTGTCACACCAGATGACAATTTGGTTCACTTCCTCTCTGTAGGCTGAGTCGTTGTTATTGCTGATAAGGCCCACAACTGTTGTATCATCTGTAAATTTAATAATGTGGTTTGAGTTATACTTGGCACAACAGTAATGAGTCATCAGGGTGAACGACAGAGGGCTCAGCACACAGCCCTGAGGAACTCCAGTGTTCCCGATGATGGTTTTAGAGGTGTTTATTCCAACTCACACTTTCTGAGGTCTGTCTGTGAGGAAGTCCAGTAACCAGTTGTACAGTGGGGTGTTGATGCATAAGGAGTTTTCTTACCAAGTGCACGGGGATGACTGTATTGAAGGCAGAGCTGAAATCAATGGGGAGCATTTGCACATAACTGGGGTGGGTCGAGTGTTGTCAGGAGTCTGGATGTTATGTGATTTCTGAACAGCTTTCCAAAGCACTTCATCATGATGGGAGTGAGCGCTTTAGGGTGGTAGTCATTGAGTGTTGATGCTGGTGACTTCTTTGGCAATGGTGTGATAGGGCTGCCCTGAATGCCTGTTTAATGTTTGTGTAAATTGGATCTAGTGTGTTTTCTCCCCTACCCTAATGGTGCTATCGGGAATACTGGAATTAAGCCATGTCTCAGTAAAGATAAGGGCACAACAGTCTCTCATCTTGTGTTGGGTGGTTAAATCCAGTCTTAAATAGCCCATTCCAGTGGTTGTTTGACAGCAGAATCGATGGAAGCGCAGGTCTGTGGGGGTTAGCTTTTAGCCTAGCGCTAATAACCACTCAAGTGCCGCGTTTGCGTGGTCTCTCACACCGCTTTCATTGCTTCCTGCGGCGGTTGGTGATGGTAGGTGAGATTTCAGCTGTTTAGGCCTCTGGATTTTGCTGGTGTAGAATCCCCAGTTCATGGAGTATTTTGGGTTCAAAAGCTAGTAAATCCCCAGGAAAGTTGCTGGATGAGTCGGATGCACAAAGTCCGAGCAGAGAACTGTGACTATAGACTAATCTCGCATTCGACTGTGTCAGAATAGAGAGTACATTTAACTTAAAACGCACATCACTAATGGGAGCCAGATTAGCTGCTGCCATGCAGGGCGCCGCCATCTTGAATAGTGTAATAATACTATATTATGTGCATATTATGATTTTTAGGGTGCTGAAAGCTTACTAATGGCAGTGTTCTAAAGATGTCCACCTGGAGTTGAAGCATACAGGCATGTACAGTTCATGCAGAGAGGCAATGAGAACCCTATTTCTCTACATTCTACAGGGCTGAGGGCACCTTCTGGAACAGGCTTTAAGGTATGAACACAGATGTGTTTTCTGCCACTAGTGATCTCTACAACAGTCTGTGTTGGTGAAAGGATACAGGAGCTGCTTATTTTCTCTCTACAGTCGTGTGAACTCTGAAAGCTCTACTATCATCCTCCATTAGCATAGTCCTGATCTTGCATTTAGGAAGGATTTTCAGCACCTTGGACAGTGACCAGCAGCTTTGGGACATTCCAGATGTCAGAGGGACAGAAGAGTCTCTTACTTTTTCACTTCTCATGAGAATAGGTGTTCAGATAATGCAGTCCATCATTCCATTAGATGTACATTTGTTTGCCTTTAAACACTGTCTGGCAGAGGAAAATGAATATGACTGCAGGTTGTCAAATACCAATGTGCGTTTAAGATCCAATGTGGTGAGTATGACTCTGAGCAAAAGGAGAGGAAGATGAACAAATAAACACTCCCCAGAACAAAGCAGAAACCACCTAATAGTGCAACTTAAATTATTTGTGTTTATTACACAATAAACATTCTAACATAATCATGAATTATAGGTGAGTAGTTCACTCACAAATTCATCCAAAAATGCTAATGAGAATTGAGTGCTGACCTGAATATAAGGCACAATGAAATGGTAAAAACATAAATCAAGGTTACATTACGACGAGACTGGTCTATTAGAAGGACAAAGTGACCATAGAAACATAGGATGGCCTCAGCACAGAAGCACGTGGGAGATACAATGCTAGTTTTATTAAACTCAATACTTTGATTGAAAAAAGCAAATAAAGAAATGATTTATTCGAACAAAACATGTTTTATTCAATCTTAATCTCAAGACACATCAATTTAGCTTCTGACCTGTTTCACTTTTCACAGTGTACCAAAAACCTTGATAATTTAAAAAAAATTGACAAAGTAATATCACCCTCATTTGACCAAGAGTTTTGTTTTTTTTTAGCTTGATTGTTGTTTGTTAAATAAAATATAGCAACTGTATTACTTACAACATTTAAAGCTGTACAGTGACAACATGATGACATTTAACTTGCGCTTGACAGTTCTTCATATTGTAACGGGTTTTGCAATTTTTAATATTATTATTGCTGGAACCTTATGTGATGGGTGTGAGGTAACCCGGATTTATTTGAAGTCTACAGACCAGGGCAAGAGAGAGAAACGCTCGCACCAAGGATGCTTTAGAAAAGGGAATTTATTGGCTAAATATCAAACTACTTTTGGACTACACTCAATGATAAACAATAGAAAATAAAACCAGAAAACAAAACAAAACAAAACAAAGTGATAGTAATGAAAGACAAATTAGCTCGAGTAAGTTAGAGTGATTCACGGCTAAATGGTATGAGGCAGTGTGGTTTGGGGAGTCGCTTGGGAGAGCCTCTAGAGAATTAACCTAAGCCTGGACGGGAAGAACTATATGGCTGGATGTGCCTATAAAAGTTCTCTTATTAAATAAATTGGCGTCAGGACCCTGACTGCAAATTGATGGTTCCAGCTTACGTGGGAGTCGGGGGCTGACTTCAGGCGGGTCGTCTCAGGACAGACTCGATCGAAGGCTGGAGCTCACGCGGTGGATCCTCTCCTAGCTGGCCGTGGATGCTGCATCTCCGTGCGGGCACGTGCCTTCCCGTTAGTGATTGGGCGGAGGCGTCTCGTGGCCGTCTGACGGTGGAGCTTGGGCGGCCTTTCGAGGGTCGATCTGTTCACAGATCAGTGCGTGGCTCTGGGTGCGATGCTGGGTCTCCGTGGCGTCAGAACTGCTCCCACTCCGCTGGCGAGGTTCAGGTTGCAATCATGGTTCTGAGGCTGGTGATACTAATTTAACTAACTACCTCTCTTTAGCAGAATCGAAAGTTATGGGTATATTCTCCCGGGCCAGACAAGAAATATCCACCTTCCTTCTCTGAGGGTGGTTTAAACGTAAGGTGTGTAGACGGACAGGCAAGTTACAAAACAAACAAATGTTTCAGATCTGAAAATTTAGCGTTCTAATACTTCTGACCTGTCTTTCTGACCTAGGCCGGCACAAACTTAGAAACTTGTTGCGAACGCAGGAACTCTCCCAAATTTGCGGTGCACTCTGGTTTTGCTCGGCTGGAGGCCCTACCCTTTGGAGGTAGTGCCAGAGTGCTGATAGGTTGACTAGCTTGTTTCCCTCTCTGATTGGTTGTGCATAATTTGAGGAACGCCTTCCCCAGAATCACTGCCGCCTTTGTTTCAGCTAGTTTAAACAAAGAAAAAGAACATTTCTATATCATCCAATTGGTTTAACTTTCAAAATCAAGGAATGAACAATTTAGATATTCAGGCATGTTTCTAAGAGAGAGTTTAACCCTTGTTACCTGATACACAATACATGTCAAAGAACACAGGTACTACTTGCCTATCAACTCTGAACATGACCCAATGCATGAAAAAAATATAATCAACAATAAAAGGAAAGGAACAAAGGAAGAAAGAAAAGAAAACCACATTCAGGATACATCTTGGTCAATGGTCTAAACTCATAGCAATTAAATGGTTGGGTCTGACTGTTATCAAAGTTATACTCTACGTATTTCTAGCACTTAACGATAGAAAAAGATACAGGTAATATTTAGGTACTACCCAACAACAAGATTAATACCACAAGTAGTATTACTTACAGATCATAGAAACGTCGATAATCAAGGAGACAAAGCACGAATCATCAAGCAGAATCAAGCAGACAAAGCATGAGGTTTTCTTGCTTTTTTATGAGCACATGTCCTTACAGTGGTGATGTGGTAATTTGCGGTTTCACCACTTGGGGGTGCTGTGGGTCCATGCTTGAGATCCCTAGGGAATTTAGAAAGTTGGAATTTTGCCATCCAAAGTCGTACAAATTCCGTTTTGGTATGTCTAGTTTAGTTAAAAAGAGTTCTAACGAATGGTTGTAGTTTGGAGGGGACAAACACCTTAGAAATGTACTTTCTGTTACTTAAGATAAAAAGTTGTCCACAGGATTTTGGAGAGCCATGCAGCTGCATTCCAGTGAAGGGTCCTGTTGCCCCCTAGGTCGAGGGAGAGGGGTGCAGCCTCTTGATTCAGCCATAAATCTGACTGAGTCTGGGGTTGGGGTATTAAGCCAACAGCTTTACGCCTCACTCCCAGACTTGCTGGAGCCAAAAGGCCCTTAACTTTTGGGTAAACACTCTGCTTGAAGTAGAGTTTCAGCCAGTGTTTCGCTACAATATTAAAGATGAATAAAAAAAAGAAGTATTTAATAAGCAGTTATAGCACATGAATAAATATTAAGCAGTGAACTGTAATATCTGATGTATATATACAGCTGAGAGTTTTAATGCTGACTGGTGGAGGAGCCAAAATAAGACCAGTAAGAAGTAACACCTGAGTTTTAACAGTATAGATGACAGTTGGCTCACTGTTCATTAAGCAACAGGTCACTCTTTTTATTCAAGTTTCATAGCTGCTTATTAATAATTTTTAAGGTTTTTGTGATCTTATTGACATCCAGTACTCTACTAATTTTAAACCTTTCATAAATCCTTTATAAAGCTAGTCTCATTGAAAAGTCATGCCAAATAAATATTTAAGATAATGTATTTTGGCTGCCAAACACAGAATCACACCAACATTGCAGAGCAATGTTGCACTACTCCAGACTGACCACTCAGCAGTGCTGTAATGAACTCTGACAGGATCTGTTGGAAATATTTCCAAAAAATATTAAATCACACATAGAAGACAATTAGTATAATTAATACAGCTTGATTGTGTAGTTTGTACCTTTGTTTCTCTTGGTGTGATAAACCACAGCTACTATAATGTGGAGGAAGATCACAGTGACCAAGGCAAAGGGGATGAAGGGCAGAGACTGTGGAGGGACTGAAACGAGAAGTGTTACAGTCTGGAGAACATGTTAAAGACTCTTAACTAAAATGTACCAAAGCTGTAATAACTTGTTGCTGCTGGTGTGATACTGCTGTGTTTACCATTGGTCACTGGAGTGGATGCTGTGCCTAGAATGCTTGGATTGGTTAGTCCACTCAACTCTACACTAGATTTTGTAGTTTTATTTGGGTCTTCTGTAGAGAGAGAAGGGTTTTATGGTCATTATAGAAGCATGTAGCTCACTGTCCATACACAGAAACACTAAACGGGTATTCTTTCCCATTACATTATATTGTGTAGTGGAACATAATATTCCTAAGCCTCATCACTTTTATAAGAAATGTATATCATATTCATGTCTACATTCATTATTGTTCTCTCACTACAATACCCAGCATGCAGTATGTAAAAAAGGCTTAATTAGGCCTGAAATGTTGGTCTGAATTGAATTATTTTGTAACACCAACACATTGTTTTTCTTTCCGTTCACTCACTTTAGGAAAGAATTAAATTGATGTAACTTATTTTATACATGTGGAAACATTTGTAAAGACAAAGAGCTTTTATTCCAGTATAAATTTGCTACAATAACATATTCAGCTTTTTGCAGTACTAAATGTAGTGATTGTAACACTTTTCATTGTGAGTATCGCTTTAATAACATTCATATAAATTAATATAAATTATAATGAATTATCTAAAAAATATGTCAATACAATGTTCTCTGATAAATCTGATACAGAATGTGATCAAAGCTGTAGAGCAGAGATTTGAAATATGTATCATACAAACCTGTAGAGAGTTAGTACAGTTTAAACTTAGTATTGAGATGGGAGAAAGAATAGAGATCTCAACAGTATTTCACCTTTAAAAGTCAGTCTGACGTATGTGTGTTCACTCTCTGTAACATAACACCTGTACTCTCCTCCATCCTCTTCAGTCAGGTGTGATATGAGTAGAGAGAGATTTCCTGGAGAGTGACCGTTAACCAGCTGAACTCTGTTTCTGTACTGACCACTCTCACTGTATAGCTCTTCCCATCTGTTTTTGAATCTGTTACGTTTCTCCCAGGTGAATGTCTCAGGTTTGGTGTGTTGGTCAGTGCAGTAACAGGGCAGCAGTACTGACCCTCCTGTATGAGCTGTGACAGTCAGTGTTTTTTTATTGTTGATCAGAGTGCAGCCTGTAGAAACACACATCAGAAAGACAAGGCTAAGCAAAACACTGAAAAAATGAAAATCAAAATTGTTTTTTTTAGGTATGATATGTGGTAATTTGCAAACAAAAACATAACAAAATGTGCAGCCTGCAGAAACACATATCAGTAAGATAAAGTTCACACTCTCTTTATCTCATATCACAGATAATACTTTTTTGAATAAATGAATTCAGGAAATAACTTAATGAAGCTCAAAGCTCTCCCAAAGTCAAGAATTGAATCATAAAATAGAAAATCATATGCATATAATACTAGACTATTAAATGTTCTTCTGTTTTATTTTTGGCTAAGAAACCACTAAAACTGCATCCATCAACCTGAACACTCAGTAACAATGTGAAGAACATTTATGACTATGCACATTGTAAACGCCCCCTCACTGCCTTGTTTCTTAACAGTAATCTCTTCACTCTCTATGTTGATTAAACAGATGAGATAGAGCAGAAATGATAATAAGGTCTCACTATAACTTTAATATCAGAAAGAAAGATTAGTGCACAGATGAGTTTTTAACGCTGTGGTATTTTCACTGCTGTTCAAGGCAGGAGCCAATCAGTATTGATATATAAATTGTGTCATGCATATTAAAAACCAACTCCAAATGAAGATCTGTTTGGCTGCCAAACTGGACACAATGAAAGAAATGAAAACAAAAAAAAATCTTCTACTTAGTTTCCAGTTAACTAACAATAAATTAACCTTTTAAAAGGCCAGTATTTAATATTTTCATGCTAGCCCCAAACAAATTGTCCAGCACAGAGTTACTACTATGATATATCTATCGCTGTTGTCGGAAAAAAAAACCTTATATCTCCATTTTTGATGTTTTTCAGTTTTTGGCAATTTAAAATTCCTGTTCCATTGTATGTAAATTTAATGATGAATGGAGTAGGAGAAGACCTAAAATGATTTGGAAAAACCTGGTTCCATTGACTATATATAGAAGAAGATGAAATTTTCCTAATAGCAAGGCAATAACTATACATATATATATATATATATATATATAAATACACAGTGGTGTGAAAAAGTGTTTGCCTCCTTCCTGATTTCTTATTCTTTTGCATGTTTGTCACACTTAAATGTTTGAGATCACACTTTAGACAAAGATAACACAAGTAAACACAAAATGCAGTTTATAAATAAAGAAAAAGTGAAAAAGTGATTGCCCCTTAAACCTAATAACTGGTTGGGCCACCCTTAGCAGCAACAACGGCAATCAAGCGATTGCGATAACTGGCAATGAGTCTTTTACAGCGCTGTGGAGGAATTTTGGCCACTCATCTTTGCAGAAATGTTGTAATTCAGCCGCATTGGAGGGTTTCCAAGCATGAACCGCCTTTTTAAGGTCAAGCCACAGCATCTCAATCGGATTCAGGTCAGGACTTTGACTAGGCCACTCCAAAGTCTTAATTTTGTTTTTCTTAAGCCATTCAGAGGTGGACTTGCTGGTGTGTTTTGGATCATTGTCCTGCTGCAGAACCCAAGTGCGCTTCAGCTTGAGGTCACGGACAGATGGCTGGACATTCTCCTTCAGGATTTTTTGGTAGACAGCAGAGTTCATGGTTCCATTTACTACAGCAAGTCTTCCAGGTCCTAAAGCAGCAAAACAGCCCCAGACCGTCACACTACCACCACCATGTTTTACTGTTTGTATGATGTTCCTTTTCTGAAATGCTGCATTACTTCTACGCCAGATGTAACGGGACATACACCTTCCAAAAAGTTCAACTTTTATCTCGTCAGTCCACAGAGTATTTTCCCAAAAGTCTTGGGGTTCATCAAGATGTTTTCTGGCAAAACTGAGACGAGCCTTTATGTTCTTTTTGCTCAGCAGTGGTTTTCGTCTTGGAACTTGGCCATGCAGGCCATTTTTGCCCAGTCTCTTTCTTATGGTGGAGTCATGAACACCGACCTTAACTGAGGCACGTAAGGCCTGCAGTTCTTTGGATGTTGTTGTGGGGTCTTTTGTGACCTCTTGGATGTGTCGTCGCTGTGCTCTTGGGGTAATTTTGGTCGGCCGGCCACTCCTGGGAAGCTTCACCACTGTTCCATGTTTTCACCATTTGTGGATAATGGCTCTCACTGTGGTTCACTGGAGTCCCAAAGCTTTAGAAATGGCTTTATAACCTTTCTCAGGCTGATAGATCTCAATTACTTTGTTTCTCATTTTTTCCTGAATTTCTTTGGATCGCAGCATGATGTCTGGCTTTTGAGGATATTTTGGTCTACTTTACTTTGTCAGGCAGGTCCTATTTAAGTGATTTCTTGATTGAGAACAGGTGTGGCAGTAATCAGGCCCTTTCTTTTTCCCTTAATAATAAAGACCTTCATTTATAAATTGCATTTTGTGTTTACTTGTGTTATCTTTGTCTAATATTTAAATTTGTTTGGTGATCTGAAACATTTAAGTGTGACAGTATATATATATATAAGCCGGAAAACAAAAAAAGTAATAGAAAAGCATGTTCATTCCTAGTCTGTTAACATTTATCTGCCTGCTGTGATGAATTGGCTGATAAATACTGAAAGTTTTAGCATGCAGTTTTGAGTGTCTTGAGAAAAAATACTAAATGTATTCATGTATGCAATGATTTTTAAATGCTGAAAATAAGCCCAAATATTGAGTAAGTTCACATTGGTTCAAAAAGAGAGAGAGAGAGAGAGAGAGAGAGAGAGAGAGAGAGAGAGAGAGAGAGGCAGGCATATCTGTCCTTAAACTGACCTGAATCACTTAAGTACACAGTAAGTATGTGTCTTTAACTAACTTATATTTGACACATAGATATTAGGATAGGATACATACACAAACGCAATGTTATGAACATTAAGAGAAAATGTCACACTCACCTTCAGAGACATGAAGCCCAATGAAGAGAAGATAAAAAGTCAGCAACATTCTCACTAGTAAAACAACACTGAGTTCACAGCACACTGACAGCTCCACACCCAGCACTACACTAGCCCTGTATACCACACTGAGTACACAGCTCTCTCAGCAGCTCTTCACTCTAATGTCCGTGCAGTTCACAGGAGCTGGGAGGCAACCTGTACTTTACAAGAAATCTTTCATCTTTTAAAGTTTTTGTCATCAGCTTTGTAACACTCTCAGAACCACAAAGTCACATGGTTTCCTCTGAGTCAAGAGATCTCTTACTGCATCGTCTTTTGTGGTGCATGATTTCACACTACACACAACCATACTGACCATGGTACTGTGTTTGCAGTGGACATGGGATGGGGGTAGGGATGGTTAAGTGTCTGCTAAAAATGAAAGAGGGAACATGAGAGACAAATGAATCAGTTAACCACAGTAAAGTTAAACATGTCCCTCTTAAACTCTTTTCTGAGCTTACATTGTGCTGGACCACATACATTGTTTCTAGGGTTCATAAAAGTGATTTGTTTTGAGTATCTCCAGGAGCTACAACCGCATATGTAGAGTTTGTGGGGAGATCACTTCATTTGAAAAGCCAGTGTTGCAACAGAAAAGGATTTTGTACCGCACCAATTACTTCACATTTCTTTCTTTCTCTTTTCCAAGAACTATCGTCCCTCAATCTGTGGTCACAAGAGAAATGAGGAAGTGTGTGAAAAAGAGCAAGGTGTTTTAGAGAAGTAAAACTGAGAACGGTGCAGTGTTGGTGGACCACACACTGCAATACACAATTCAGAATAAGACATAATTAAAATATAGTAACACTGGGAAATGCACCATATGAAAAATAGCAAAACTTTACAACTACCCAGTACTGAGTAAGAGTTAACAGTAATTGTTATTTATACACATTTGTCCATTTTCAAATTCTGATTAAATAATTATTTGTTCACAACTATTAATGATTAGTTAAGTGTTTATTAAACAAAGTTATTATGAAGTGTTGCCAAATATCTTTATGCCTTTGGCATAACCCAGTCATGGTTGGTTCAAAGTGAGATTTTTGTGATTTGGTCCATACCTTTATAATTAGAAACAACCAGGATCTCGACACATTAGATATGTAGATCTAACGCATGTTAATCAACAATACACAAGCTGATGATATCAACACTCTCAGATATATTTGATCTCCTCTGTCCAGGTGGTACATTTGTGGTCATGTGTGCGTTCCCACAATGTTGTAGGGTGCCCCATTTCTCATTTTAGTGTTTGAAGGGACACTCAAAAGCAACTTCTTTGCACACTTACAATGTTAAAGACTGCATCAATATAGAATTTTAACTAAAATTCCTTGGGGTACCTCAGAGGACAAATCAGTTTATTTACAGCTGCCTGACCATCATGGCGGAGAAGAAGATATTCAAGTATTTTAAATGCATATATTAACTGATGAGTCATTGATGTGTATTATGCATATCCCGTACGTTGCACTGGTCTGTCACCCCTCATGACCTCTAACAGTGAGTCAGATGTGGCATGCACAGACTTTGGCAAGGGTGTTTCAAAAGGGGATTTCTGGAAAAGTTCATGTAAGGTTTTTTCAGTATTTTAAAATAAATTGATTTAAACGTGTTACACTGCCTAAGTAAGCCATGATAAATCAGAACAGCCTATTCAAGCTGCCTCAAATGTACGTGAATGAGCAATAAGGAGGAGTGCCAGCAAGGCCCCTTCTACTTTGACTGCAGCCTTCACTTTGAGACATGCCTTGGGTGTTCTGAAGTTGGACAGGACTAGCACTGTTGTATGTTCTAAACTGACAGCAAAAAGCAAAATGAATGGTAGCAGTACTGTGCAATGAAACTGGTGATTTAAAGCAGTTCAAATTATGGATGAAACCAAAGTTTTCATATTAAGCATTTCAAGCTCTTAAAAAAAAAAGCATTAGCAATTTTAACACAAAAAGGGGCTGGATCTCAATTATGGACGCTTCCTCGTGTGCACTCTAATGTCTGTGCAGCACACAGGGGCTGTGTGACAATCTCCTTTTTCTAGAACTCTTCTGTCCTTTAAAGATTTCATC